TCTCCAACAGTCTGCTCGTATTGGGAACTTGACATAGCTTTGCTGGTGGGGTGTGCTGCACAGTCCAACACTGAGTGCAGGAGAGCTCACAGGCAGGTCAGTGCGCTGTCAAGGATGTGTGCAGGGGAGAAAAGACCATTTCTACAGGGCTCAGGTCAGAGGGCACATGACAAAGGGCACATCGTCCCATGTACCAAAGGATTCCCGGCTGGATTCCTACTTTGTCAGGATAGGATCACTCCACACATATCTTAGGAACAGACATCAGAAGTGAGATACTGAAACAAAACATAGCTGAGTGGGATACCCCAGAGGCAGGAGAGAGGAATAAATTTAGGAGTCAAAGGTTAAAATCCAGATTCAGGACCTGGGCAATGGTGTGTGTGTGTGTCCCTCAATCTGGACCACTGGCTCCTAATTGCTGACAAACAGATGCTGACAAACACAGACCTAGAACATGGCAGGTGTGAGGATCAGAATTCAATGTGGAGAAGTCACAGTGTGAAAGATGGGAGTCTAGAAAGACAGGCTGAACAGGGAAGAATCCTAGGACTGAGAGATCTGATCAAGTCAAATCCATAAAGGCTTCCAGTATGCCTCTCTCTGCAGGAAGAGAAGGAAATCCCCAGTGCTGGTCAGTAGTTAGGCTTCTCAGACTTCTTTTTACAAGTTACAACTGACATATAACATTATGACATATTTGACATATTTCAGGAGCACAACACAGTCTTTCAACATGTATATGCCTTACCAAGTACTCACCACAATAAGTCTCATAATCATCTCCTCTGGGACTTTTTAAAAAAATATGTATTTTTTCATTGATTTCAGAGAGGAAGGGAGAGGAAGAGACAGAAACATTAATGATGAGAGAGAATCACCGATTGGCTACTTCCTGAATACCCCCTACTGGGAATTAAGCCTGCAATCTGGGCATGTGCCCTTGACCAGAATCAAAACCAGGACTCTTCAGTCCACAGATTGTTGCTCTATTCACTGAGCCAAACCGGTACAGCGTCCTCTTGGACTTTTTAAAGTGAGTTTGACTGGGCCAGCTTAAGGAACCTCTTCTCACTGTCCCTTAGTGCTGAGGAAACAATTTGGAATCACTACCCCATGGAGGAAGAGCTAATCTATGCTGCAAATGAAATGCTAGATAAAGGATGAAACCACACACCTGCACAGATCTGCTGGGAGCCCCACACTGCCTTAGGTGTTCCTGTGATTACCAAAGAAAAGAAAGTCTCAACATTCCAAAAGTCAGAGGTCTGAAGCCTGAAATCCAACCCAGAGTGGTGGTTTCAGCTTCCGGAAGAGCCCTAGTCCCACTGCTGGCCCCTACTCCCACCCTGGGCTAAACCCACGGGAGCCCAGATCCCTGCCCTTAGCGGACATCAGTCACCGTGTCACACCAACAGTCATCCTGAAACTAGAGACCGCTGAGAGAAAGGCAGTGGGACCGAAGCTTCAGGGAGGCCTGCCCTCCAATGTGCCTACACAGCACTTCCTCAGCCTGCTGGGCCCAGCTAGGGGCGGGGCGGGGACCTGCTGTCAGTGTGTGGCTTACAAAAGCAGTCCAGTTGTTAGTCTCGTGAGAGCTTTGGGATGAAAGCAAATGCCCAACCCAAGAGGGAAACATGCTCTCAGGACAGGTGTGTTATGGCAAAGGCAGGGTTTCCACTGGGAACCCTAGAGGATGAAATGGCACAAAAGTTCCTGCAAACCAGGCTTGTAAGAAGGAAATTAGCATTTCCCATCTGTAGAGGACTAAGACCACACAAAACAACAAGTGAAAAAGTTAATCTGTATCCAGTGTTTTAATAAATAACTCACTCCATGGGAGCCCAGCTGAGAGGAACCTGTGGGGGAAAGGCAAAACCTGAGGCAGCCGTAGAAAACCAGTCCCCACGGGGGCGGGGGGGGGGGGGTGTGTTGCGCGAACAACTCCAACTCCATGGACACACCTGCCAGAAGCCAGTTTGTGGGCGAGGCGTAGGCTCCCCCCTGTGGAGCTGCCACACTTTGGGCCATACCACCCAGAGCTGTCTTTGGAAGCAGCCTGACGTGTAACAGATGACCTGCCCAGTGGAATCTCATTAGGGGAGACTGCCTGAGATCACAAATAATCTACACCTGGTCAGCTGAGTGCGTTGTGGTTAGGTCTGGCGTAGCATGGGTCCAGCCAGGGCTGCTGGCAGCACCAGGGGCAGCCCAAAATCCTCACAGAGCCACCTCTTGCAGAGCCCCACAAATCTCTACAGTCCAGTCCACAGCTGTCTGGCCACAAAGGAAAAGCCAGAGCTGCAAGCTTCCAAGCATTTGGCAGCTGCTGTTCAGCTGTCTCACACCTCCCAAGTCCAGGCAAGAGCAACAGGACCGTCTCTGCTGCTGAAGTCGTTGGGAGTAGCCTTAGGTTCCGCAGAAAAGCACTCCGTTCTCCCCTGTGGCTGCTCCAAGCTGGAACTTGTTCCATCTCTCCAACTTCAGAAACAGCCTCTTGAGAACCTTTTAATCCAAACAAGTGCTCTCTTGCCCTGTTTCCTTTCATGAATGTAAATAGAAAAAAAACTTGGATGGAACTAGCCATCCCAGGCCTCATCCAATCAGTTTACTCTTCACCCTTTTTTAGGGCTACCAGGATGGGGCTCCCCTTACTGCCCCCAAAGGAAGCGTGCCAGGGGCAAGAAATGCAGGGAACCCTTGGGCTTCTGCTTGTCTACCTTCCACAAACTGTGAGGTGAAGGAAAGATATTAATGGGAGGAGTTACCCACTAGATGTTTAATATATATTGTGATTAATTAAAATGGAAAGGCAGCCTAGCTGGTTTGGCTCAGTGGATAGAGCATCGGCCTGAAGACCAAAGGGTCCCAGGTTTGATTCTAGTCAAGAGCACATGCCCAGGGTTGCAGGTTCGATCCCCAGTAGGGGGCGTGCAGGAGGCAGCCAGTCAATGATTCTCATTATTGGTGTTTCTCTCTCTCCCCCCTCCCTTCCTCTCTGAAATATATATATATATATATATATATATATATATATATATATATATATATATAATTTTTTTTTCTTCTTAAGTTTGCTTGTATTATCATCTTAAAGACAAAAAATGCCCCATACACTCCTTTCTTCCCAATCATAAGAGACAGCAGAGAACAGTGGGAAAGTCAGGAGATCCTGCTGCTCTCCTTAACTTGCTATATGGCCTTTGGCAGGCTGCTGGACTTACCTCAGCTGTACAACCAGGGGATGTGGGCTAGATCAATGTTTCCCATTTATCTGTGACAATAAATAATACTGAATCATGCTTTTTAAAAAGTTCCCTTTTCAATTCTCTTTCAGTTTTTCTAATCATGTCTGGTGTCAGGTTCTATTTGGTATTAGCATATCTTTTTTCCCCCTTAAATATATTTTTATTGATTTCAGGGAAAAAGGGAGATGGATAGAAAGATAGAAACATCAATGATGAGAAAGAATAATTGATCAGCTGCCTCCTACATGCTCCACATTGGGGCTCAAGCCTGTACCCCAGGCATGTGCCCTGACCGGGAATTGAACCATGACCTCCTGTTCACAGGTTGATGCTCCACCACTGAGTCACATAGGCTGGGCTTAACATATTTTTTAAATACCTCTCTCATATGTCTTGCTAATCTTTTGAACAAAGAGAAAGGTGGCCTCAGGCTTAGAATATTCTGTGACAGGCCACAGTATTAAGCTAGAATTTAATAACCATGCTTTGTTATTACTGTGTTTATTTCCATAACTACCTTTAAATATACAGCAAATGATATTGGTTTCCATATATGATAGCGATTTAACTTTTAAAGATTTATTTATATCAATTTTTAAAAGGAGGGTTAGTTTACAGAGAAGACACAGTAGATAATATGCTACAGGTGGCAAAAATTATGTAGGCAGCACTAGAAGTTTTGGAAACATGGGGCTAGAAGATTTTTAAAGCCTCTCGCAGTCCTCAAAGTGAATGTCGGTGTCTTCAAGTGTCAGATGCAGCTCTCACCCCAGACCCCTTCTTACAGGATTCCTCTCAAACGTCACCTCCTTCCTGGAGCTTCTGACCCCGCAGGCTGGTTACAGTTCCTGTTCCTAGAGGATGTTTACATCCATGGGTTGCAGCATTTATTACTCAGTACTACAACCTTCTCTTTACGCTTCCTTCCCTTCGAGAACATGAGCTCAATGTAAGAACCATGTTCTTGGAATTTTATTCCCAACACATATGACATTCTATCTCTATTACAAAACAGGTGCTTGATGAGTGTATGCTGAAGGAACCAATGCTTCTGGCCTTTTTTCACTAAACAAGAAGACAAAAGACAGTAGAAGAAGAATGTTGCCAGAAATTCACTTACCATAATTCCAATTTAATACCTCTTAGCACTTATGCTAGAAGTTAGAACTCTCACAATTCTTACCTCATCTTTAAACACTAAATTAAATAAAAATCCATGAATCTGTTTCAAAGAGGAAGTAGGTAAAATGGATGGAGGGACAGAGATGGCTATAGAGATGGTTATATTCTTGATGAAGCAAGTAGAGTAAAATGTTAATGGCAGAATCTAGGTAGTGGGTATATGAGTATTCACTATATGCTTCTTTCAACTTTGCTTTATGTTTAAAATTTTTCATAATAAGCTAGTAGGAGAGAAGTATACTTAAAAGCATCAACACAAATTCTGAGTCATAGCTACGCTGCCTGTCCTCTGAGCTCAAACACCAGAGCGAGCTTGGGAAAACCTGATAGTTTTAGAACTCTTGCTCATCATTGACAATTTCCTGCACAGGTAAGCAGAGCTCAGGTGCTGACCTGGACCTTGTTGGCACAAGGAGATATAGGCAGAGGACAGACACCCAGAAGTTCCACCTGAGAAGTACCAACCCCACAGGACTATGACATCATCATCTCTACAATGGAAAAACCTCAGAGAAAAGGTTCAAGCTAAGGAACAGGCAGGCGAAGGGTGGACAAGTGGCACACACTCACTCATGGACTCTGCTGTCACCATAAAGGTCACTGAGGCCGAAGCTGATGTAGTGCCAGTGTTCGGGGATATTGGCAGAAGGGCTCCCCACGTTCCTGTACATGCTAACATAATCCAAGGGGTCTGGGCCACCCAACCTGCAAAAGACAAAACACAGGATTGTTAGTGTGAATCTGAAAGCAGACAGTGTGAAGCTAAGGGATGTCTTACAAACCTGAGGGGCCCCAAACTGAAGGAAAATGGGGTGAAAGATAACTAAAGGGAGGCCACGCCTCTCTGGGATAAGACCATGGGATAGGTGGCTAGAAGTTGTCTAATTCCCCACGCATGACAGACTCCTTCCAACATGTAGGACCTCTTTTAGAAGTAAAACAGATTGGATGGTTGCCCTTTTTGCTTCCTCCTGTTTCAAACTACCAATCCCAAATGCGATTGGCAGGGATTATCTCTCCTTCATGGTGCCTGTAAACATGTCATGCTTCAAGGCAAGAGGTGCATCTGTCAATCCAATTGGCCTCTGTTGAAAGACCATCCTTAGCATCCCCAATGGGAATGGAAACAGAGGCTCAGCTCCACTCTTGCCTCTTGGACAGACTAAACTGTGCCCTTCGTTAATTACATTTTGTTGTGAACAAACCCAATGCCTTCAGATCCATGCCTGTACCCCACAGACCAAAGCTGGTTGTTTGGGAAAACTTTTTTTTTTTTAATCTTTTTTTTTTAATTGATTTTTTACAGAGAGGAAGGGGGATAGAGAGCTAGAAACATCGATGAGAGAGAAACATTGACCAGCTGCCTCTTGCATACCTCCTACCGGGGATGTGCCCACAACCAGAGTACGTACATGCCCTTGACCGGAATCGAACCTGGGACCCTTCAGTCCGCAGACCGCCGCTCTACCACTGAGCCTAATCAGTTTCGGCTGGGAAAACTTTTTAATCCTCACCCAAGGACATTTTTTTTTTTTAATTGATTGATTGAGAGGGAGAGAGAGTGGAGGGGAAAGAGACATCAATCAGTTGCCTCCTGCACATGGGATCCCTGACTGGCCAGGGATCGAACCTGCACCCCTAGACATGTGCCCAACTGAGAATCGGACTACAGCCTTTTGGTGTACAGGACAATGCTCCTATCAACTGAGCCACACCAGCCAGGGCCCAAAGCTGGTCTTTCATCATGCAAATGACAAAAGCCAAACCTGGGCTAGCTCACCTCAGCACAGATAAAGATAACTGCAGAGAAGCCAGGCTGAGCCATGTGAGCTCAGAACTGGAAGATGACCCTAGCAGACTACCATCTCAAAGGTAGAATTGTACATTAAATTATTTGGGGCCTCTGAAGACCACATTAAACTTCCCACATAATTCCAACTGAAAGGCAGTGGAGGAAGAGATTCGGTCATTACCTGATTCTGAGGATTTAATTCAATAAGGATTCCCTTTTGTAGACCAATTAGTGCTCTCTTTTTCTTAAATCCTGCTTTTCTTCAGAATGGATAGGGAAACTGGTAGACTTGAGAAACAGATGAAATAAATGGAAACCATCAGTGGAAGGAAGTCTGCAGTTAGCTCACAGACACCTCTGCATTTGAGCTGCCTCGGACATCTGACTGTTCCACAGACTGCAAAAACTTTGCTGCTCCTGGGACATTGATAGAGTGCACTTTGCAACTGGGTTCATATGCTAAAGGAACACTGACAACCAAATAAAAAGCATGCTTATGTGTGATCCCAGCAAGCATGCCAACACCATGCAATTAAAGCACTATTTAAAACCAGTAGGTGTCTTTTCATCCTCTTTGCCAGGATATTATTTGCTTTTGTAAAAATCCTTATTCTCCGCTAAGAAATGCTAAGTTATTTCTAGAACTTGTAAAAAAAAAAAAAAAAAAAAGTTGCTACAAATAGCTTAGAATTTCAACTGAGTGGATTAGAAAAAAGGACAAATCTCCCTGTCTTTCCTTAACTCAGATTTTGCCAAAATCATCTGACTAATTCCACAACCAGTTGGATTTAGGAGAGCTTGTCGGGGAAGGGAAAAAAGCAAAGAGCAGCTAACTCTGAAAGGACCCTAGGATAGTGCAAAGCCCAAGAACAGATGGAGTGACTACAAGCTCCATGTATGCTCCACTGTCCTGCTGCAAAACCCCAGTCCTACCCTCCTTCAGCGTTGGTCCACCCAGCAACAAGTGACAAAACTGCATCCGCCATTCCATGCTTCACCTGCCACTCCACAACAATCCTCTTTCTGGCCACGGCTCCCAGGACGCACTCTCAAGGAGAGAGACTTTACCCTGAAACTCCAACTGCAGGGAATGACCAAGTGTCAGACCAAACGAACCTCATCCCCAGCACAGACAGTTCTGTTCTACTTACTCAGAAACCTGATGGGAAGCAGAAGGGTATGCAGAAAATTTTCATATTCTGTACTTAGAAAAGATGTTATCCAAGGACCCAGCATCCTTCGACTTAGTACCTTGAACACCTGACTTCACTCCCCAGGACTAGAGTAGGCCCAGAGCACAAGCTCTGCCTCTCTGCTTCTGATCCCTACTCACCGAAGTCTCAGCTTTCAGAATGTCCTTACTGACCAGGGTGCATTAGCCAAGAGCCACCCTTCTGTTGCAAGAAAAGGAATCCCAAGGTACACTGGGCCACAGCCAGACCCAGGCAGCCTCAGCCAGTCATCCTGTTAGGAGAACTGAAGAGGCCTTGGTGGAATCCCAAATGAAATCGATGAATTAATTTCAGGGTCTTAATCATGCACAATCCAAATCTATAAAGAATCTAGGAAGCATTTCTAATTGCAAAGAATGCTGTACAGTTGCCTGGACTCGTCATTAGAATTTAGTCCATCTCTGAAAATAAGTCCTGCCTGGTTAACAAGCTTGCTACAGGGGGGGAGGAGGGGGATGGTGGTGGTGGTGGTGGTGGTGGTGGTGGTGGTGGTGGTGGTGGTGGTGGTGTAAGTTTCCCAAACTAGTCTTTGTCCTTTGCCTGTGCTCCCATACCTATTACACACAACTCTATCCTTCATGGCCACCTTTTACACACAACTCTATCCTTTGGAGACAGAGACAGTCGCCCAAGTCTGTGTAGCAATTCCTCTTTACACTCAAATGAGGCCTGAACAAACAGCATGGCAGAGCCTGGCCTACTTTTCTCATGACACAATCCGGGAGAGTTCAACACAATACGTATTTAAATACAGAGGTGCAATTAGAATGGGGATTAAGTTATCAAGAGCTGCTTTTCATTCAGAAGCTCTCTTCATAAACTCGTCTCAACCCAAGAATTGTACCACTGGCCACACCTCCTGGCCACCAGACAGAAGCAGGCTGCTCCCCGCGGCTCCCCCTAAGGAGCAGGTGGCTGGTCCTCCACACTGTCCACTTCTTCACATGCTCCAGTCCTCCGGAGCCTACCTTCTGCCATTTCTGGAGGAAGACATTGTCCTGGGGGAGACTCAGTCCTAAAGGGAGAGGTAACCAGAAGAGACATCCACTCACTCCCCCCCCCTCCCCCCAGGTCTATCCTAACTATGGCCACACTCCAAGCAGCTAGCTGCCTGAACAGTCTTTCAGGGCTCCATCTTAACACACTGCCTGCAAGAATGTGGTTCTGGACATATTCAACAATCCCTCAGTCAACTTTTGGTCCAGAAAGATCATGAAGATAGGCGCTTTCTTTCCCACAGTTCCCATAACGCCCGTTTTGCCCTGAGGCTGCAGGATGAAACAGGAATGGGAAACTAGAGAAGACCATTCCTACTTCAAGGCCAGCCCCTCTGCAAAAGGTCTGATCCTTAACGGAGATCCTTCAGAGACCCCCTGAGAAACTGCTGCCTGCATCCTGAAGCTTGTGGCTAGGAAGCTCCTCCGCATCTCACCGCCTTCCCCCCACCCTGTCCGAGGCCCACACTTGGAGGGTTTCCTCTGGTCCCCTGCGATCCCCAGCCAAGCCCTGGCTCTGCCCTGGCCAGTGCCATAAAGGAAAGCAGCTGCAGAGCTAGCGGGAAGCTCGGCACGAGGAGAACTGTGCGGAGTCAGCACCAAGTTTATCGGGGGTGGGGTGGGGGGGGGAGTTGTCTCGTGAAACTTAGGACACAAAAGCACGGCGCTGACACGATGTCTGAGCTCCCCGGAAAGCAACAGAAAGGCTGCCCTCCTCCTCCTCCACCGCTTCCCAAGCGCACCGCTCACAGCGAGCGCCCCTCCTCACCCAAAGCGGAGCCCGGGGCCCCAGACCCGCCTCGGACCCGTACCCGGGCCAGTCTCCTGCCCTCCAGCTCCGCCAGCCGCGCTCCTGCAAAGCCCCGCCACGGCGCCCCCGCCCCCGCCACGGCCCGCCCGCGGCCCGGCCCAGTGCAGCCGCAACCCCCTCCGGGCTTCCCCCGGCCCGCCCGCTGGTGACCCCCTGCAGGCGCCCCCTCCTTCCACCACGTTTACAGTCCCCCCTCTCCTCCCGACCCCCCTCGGCTCACACACACACACACACACACACACACACACACACACCACACACCCAATTCACTCCGTTCTCCAAACCCCCTTAACCCTTCAGCCTCCGCAGCCCCGTCAGCCACTCGCTGCCCGCAGCCTTCTTTAACCCCTTTGTCCCCATTCCTAACCGGAGCCTTAACTCCCTCCCTCCCAGCAGGAAGCCCTTCTTCCCAGTGCTTTAACCATTCCCCCTCCTCTTCCTCCTCCTCCTCCTCCTTTTCCTCCCTCGCAAACTACTTCGCCGCGGGCGCTTAAACTCCTCGCGGCCCGCCGCCGTCCCCCGCGGCCCGGGCCCCGTACCAGTACTTGACGATGGCGGTGACCTGGAGCGGGTTCGGCTGGTCCGGGTACAGGCGGCGGCACTCTCCGTAGATGGCGTGCAGCCCCGGGGGGAAGAGCGAGGCGAAGGCCGGCGGAGCGGTGGGGCCGGGGGCCGGGGGCGCGGTGGGGCCGGGGGCGCCGCTAGGCCGCAGCTCCGCCATCCCGGCGCTGGGAGGACCCGGGAGGACAGACGAGCGAGCGCGAGGGCACTGACGCGCCGGCGGCGGGCGGACCCCGGAGGTGTGACTCCCAGAGGCGCTGGGGGCTGCAGCGAGGGCTGGGACCCGCGCCTGCGCACGGAGAGCCGTCCGCCCAGGCCGCGGCCGCCGCCGAGCGGGCCGGAGAGCGCCTGGGGGGCCGCGGGCCGCTCAAGGGGGCGGGGCCCCGGCGCGCCCGATCCCGGACCCCATTGGCTGACGTCCGTGCCAGTCACAGAGGCAGCGTGCCTCGGCAGTAAGTCTCGCCTCCCCCTGTAGGCGTCCCAAAGCTCTTGGCCTCCCCCTAGTGTTAGGAGGAACCCAGGTTTCAATGGAGATGTGCAGGCATCCTTCTGAGGTGCTAGGGTCCCTCAAAAGCCCTGGGAAGTGCGCCAACTAAGGACCTGTCACTGGTTTGCTGACTCGCAAACCTTATTTATTTAAACATAAACTAGAGGCCCAGTGCACGAAATTCCTGTGAGAGCGCACTGACCACCAGGACCGGTTATTCTGCTCTACAGTCGATTTGCATATCAGCCTTTTATTATATAGGATATAGCAATGGGCTGCTGATTCATTGGTCCATGTGGCATTAGTGTTTTGTTTTGTTTTTTATTGATTTCTGAGAGGGGAAAGGGGAAGAGAGAAACATCAATAAGAGGGAATCATTGATCGGCTGCCGCCTGCACACCCCCTATCAGGGACAGAGCCCATAACCCAGGCAGGTGCTCTGACTAGGAATTAACTGTGACCTGGCTCATGGATCGAAACTCAACCACAGAGCCACACACTATGGGCCATGCAACATTAGTTTTAATCTAAATGTTTCCTATGTCTTTGAATGTCCTTTGATCATACTGACTGACACACTGCCAAATTCAGGGGTCCTATGTCAAAATACCTATTTTGGAGTTCTGTCAGAAAGTAACAAGAATTGGCCTCAGGGCATGGCTCAGTGGTTGAGCATCAACCTATGAACCAGGAAATCACGGTTAGATTCCCAATCATAGCACATGTCTGGTGGCAGGCTCCATCCCCAGTGTGGATGAGCAAGAAGCAGCCAATCAATGATTCTCTCTCATCATTGATGTTTCTATCTCTCTCCCTCTCGCTTCCTCCCTGAAATCAATAAAAAATAGATTTTTAAAAAGGAAAGTTTAAAAAACAGGAAAGTAACAATTAAGTAAACCATGATCAATTCTTAAAATGATAATCATTTACTCAATATTTTTAGTTATGATAATCTATTCTTTGTTGTGTTTTAGGCATATATATGCAGATTGCCTTGAGGAATACCAGTATTCGTTATCTACTATGGGCCTGCCCTTCCCCATTACTCTGACTTTATTAATGGGAGAATTTTTAATTCCTAACGCACCTGCTTGGGAATTATTTTCCTGTTTACAAAAAGTAATGTCTTCCACTCAATGATCTTAAAGAATCCCAAGAGACAGGGAGAGAACAGTGCTATTAGCTAAAAGGGTTCCTGCAACTTGAATCGGGGGAGGAAATAATCTAGAGAAAAATGTGCTGAGCTCATTTGAAAGCAGAAACACATAACTTCTCTTCATCTCTATATTCTCATTTATCAGTGTCAATTATATGCCAGTAGTTCCAAGTGCTAGTCTTCAGACAAATGAATGTTAGCCTCCTGCAAAGTTTACTCCTATCCAGGAAAATACACAAAAAGAAAAAGAAAAAAAAGTACTTGTATGCAATTTAAATTATTTTCCTTTGTTCTGGGAATATGTCCTTCCCCCCATGGGTATTAAATTTTTTACTAGAGTGTTGATAGTGATCGATATATATTAATGTCTTATGAAATGGCTATCATCAATAAATCAACAAATAAAAACATGATAATCAGCCCTAGCTGGTTTGGCTCATTGGATAGAGCGTGAGCCTGCTGACTGAAAGGTCCCAGGTTCAATTCCAGTCAAGGGCACATGCCCAGGTTGGGAACTTGATCCCTAATAGGGGTTGTACAGAAGGCAGCTGATCAATGATTCTCTCTCATCATTGATGTTTCTCTCTCTCTCCCTTCCTCTCTGAAATCAATAAAAAAAAATTTTTAATGGAATTGCCTTATGACCCAACAATTATATTTCTGGGAATTTATCTGAAGAAACCCAAAGAACTAATTTGAAAGAATATTTACACCCCTATGTTCTTTGCAGCGTTATTTACAATAGTCAAGATTTGGAAGTAGCCCATCAGTAGATGAGTGGATAAAAAAGCTGTGGTACACATAGGAAAAAAGAACTCAATAGGACTCTTTTTCCCCTCCACCCATGGGAGTCCATTCTGTGGGACTCTCTCCCCCTCCCCATGTGGGTGTCTGTACTTGTTCTTTAATAAAGCTCCACCTTGGCTGCATTAAAAAAGGAAGAATAAAAAGAAGGAGAAAAAGAAGAAGAAAAAGAAGTGGTTCATCTACACAATGGGATACTACTGAACAGTAAAAAAAAAAAAAAAAAAAAAAAAAAAAAAGGAAATCTTAGGTTTGTGACAGCATAGATGAACTGGAGAGTCCTACTGTAAGTGAAATAAGCCAATCAGAGAAAGACAAGTACCATATTATTTTACTCACTAGAGGCCTGGTGCATGAAATTTGTGCCCAGGTAGGGTCCATAGGCCTGGCTGGGTAAGAGCCAATTGGGCCTTCCTTCATTCCATACCGCCCCCTGGTGGTCAGCATATGTCATAGCAAGCAGTCAGCTCTCCATGGTGTCCCTGGTCGGTGTAAATTGTCCCTGGTAGGTGTAACTCTTCATGGGACAATTTGCATATTAGCCTTTTATTACATAGGATATGTGGAATCTAATGAACAAAATGAACTAACAAGTAAAATAGAGACTCATAGGTAGCAGGCTGACAGCTGGGGAGAGGGGCGATGTGTGTGGAGGGATTGAGCAAAAAAGAAAAAACTCATGGACACAGATAATAGTCTGGTAATTGCTGGGGGAAGGGGGGGAGGGGAAAAGAGAGTATAGGGGGATAAATGGTGATGCAGGAGACCTGACTTGGGGTGGTGAACACAGTGTACAGATGACATGTTGTAAAATTGTGCACCTGAAACTTGTGTAATTTTGGTCATCCTAATAAATTCAATAAAAAGGGGGGGGAAATCTGCTTCCTTTGTATTTACCCAAATACAAAGAGACTACAAAACCCAGGGTACTGTGTCTCTCCATCTCTTAAAACTAGGTGTGGCTCGGAAACTGCCTGGCCCTCTAACCTCAGTTGCAAGGCATGCTGGGGGTTGTAGTTCTTTGAAGGCAAGATCGGGCCGCTCCCTCTCCGCCCTGCACCGGCGGCTAGTCTGCGCATGCGTGTCAGTGGCACTAGCAGCGAACCGGGCAGGCAGTTCCTTCCTCGGAGGGAGAGATTCCTCTGCCATGGAGTCCTACGATGTTATCGCCAACCAGCCTGTGGTGATCGACAACGTGAGTTGCGTCTTTTCTATCTCTAAAGGGACTTACGCTGTCCTCCCCGAAGGGATCGCTTCCCGATGCCGCCAGTTCTTTGTCACTGGCCAGGCCTGTCAGGCGGGTTCAACCACCGCTGCCTCCATCCTGCCCCTACCCATAGTCCGCAGGCAGCGGGGGCCGGTCGGCAACCATGGGTTGGAGCGCTTTGGGATGAATAAAGACTTGTCAGCCCGAGCCGGGTCCTTGGGCCCGGGGCTCCAGGGGCCTTAACCGCTCTGTGAGCTCCGGTACCCACCCCTTCCCAGTTTTCGGTAACTCTATTGGCTGCTTTGGCTGTCGATCTTGACCGGTGACCCCGCCTCCGAGCCTTGCCGGATGAGGGCTAGCCTCTGCAGTGATTGGCTTACGCCCCTGCAGTTCTTCCGGGCCGCCATCATGTTTCTCAGCTCTAAGGGGCGGGGCGCTGCAAGAGGGCTGTTGGGATTGGCTTCCGGAACTTTCCGTGGTGGGGTCTGACGGACTAGGGCCCGCCCGCCCGCGGGTGGAGAAGGGCTAAGTTTCCTTCTGTCCGGAGCCGGGAAGCCAGGCTGTGCATTTGGGTGGGGTCCGAGGATATGATGCTAGAAATGACCATAGGATTTCATTTATTGCTGAGATTGTAAATCACCGCGTTAATCATGGTCGACAGGCTAAAAGAGGAACCAAGCAAGCAGGGACGCCTAGTTGCTGGTGAAAATATTTGCCAGGCTCTCTGGAGCTTACGGAGGAGGAATTTCACATGCGTTCGAATTGGATCCTCACAAAAACTGGGTGAATGGCTAAGGCAGGAAGTTTGATTCTCATGTTATAAATGAGAAAATGGAAGCGCGAAGAATTAAAGTGAGCCCAAGGTCACCCTAAATCCAGTGCTTTATTCCTTTTTCCTCTTGCCAGAACGCCACGAAAAGGCATAGTGACAGTGCTCTTATTGTGGGCAGAGGGGGACAATTGTAAAACAACTGCATTTCTGTCTCCCAGTTGTAGGTTTAGTCCCACCGAGGTCGGTTGACCTTTTCTGTGCCCCTTCCAAGTCCTTTGAGGCAAAACTACCAGTTCCCTCTGTCCTGAACTCACTGTCAGATTCGCTCCGTTGACTCAGCCCTTGGGACTTTAGGCAAGTTAGAAGGTCCTTTCACTGGCTTCGTCTCATTTAAGCTTCCGATCCGCTGGTAGATGGGAATGACTAACCCAGATGATGCAGGCAAGTGAGGCCTGGAGAGGTTAAATAACAGTATTCAGACCGCCAGGTTGGTGAGTTGAGGAGCTGAGACTCAAATTGAGATCGGGTGCCAAGTTTCTCACTTTTTTCAAGGAAAGGTGTTTTTGTTGTTAGCTTTCCTTCTCTCTAGGAGTATGGCTTCTGACTTGAAAAGCAGGAGGTTGAGTTCAGTGAGACACCACCATTTGGGGAGAATTGGGGGGGTTCCGATCAGAGATCATACCTGTGTTGCAGGCTCAATGGCATGAATCAATGATTCTCTCTCATCATTGATGTTTCTCTCCCTCTCTCTTCCTCTCTCTGAAAACATAAAAAATATATTTTTTTACAAAAATACTGCTTTTGTGGCTATTGGAGCCTAAATGCGGGAACAGTATCAATAAGAGTTTTACTGTTTTGGGGAATGTTGTGCTGCTTCAGCCCCCTTTTTTAAAAAAAATAAATGAAAGACATTAAACCTAAAGAAAAATTCAGAGAGGTATATAATGAGCACCTACATAGCATGTGTCTGCCACCCATATTTAATAAATGTTGATATTTACCATATTTGCAGGAATGTAGACCCAGTGTTGCCAGATCTGATTTTTCAAGATAAATTGGAAATTTTAAATGTCGTATGAGTCTCCAGTTTTTAACTGTCAGAAGTTAATGTAAAGGTAGTTTGTGGTCTATAGATACCGAAAGTAGGTTAGTGGTTGCCCAGGACTAGGAGTGGGAGAAGAGGGATAAGATGGAGAGTGACTGCTGATGGATACAGAGTTTCTTTGGGGGATGATGAAAAAGTTCTAAAATTAGATTATGGTAATGATTGCATAATTCTGCGAATATACTACCCTGTTTTCCCGAAAATAAGGCAGTATCTTATATTAGTTTTTGCTCCCAAAGATGCACTAGGTCTTATTTTCAGGAGATGTCTTATTTTTCCATGAAGAAGAATACGGTACACATTTATTGTTAAATGAAAATAAAGGAAATTTATTACCTGTATACGGTACAGTAGTACGGTAGTTGTCAACACAAACCAGACAAACTGTGAATCCTACAGTATCAAGAATTTACTCATTTATTCAATGACAATCATGTCATCATCTTCTGGAACATCATCATAACAATCCAATTCCTGAATTTCCTGGTGAATTTCTTGTGACTCCTAGGGGGCCTTATTTTCGGGGGATGCCTTATATTTCACTCAGAAGGAAACCTGTAAGTAGGTCTTATTTTCGGAGGATGTCTTATTTTCAGGGAAACATGGTAAGAACCATTGACTTATACACCTTAAATGGGTAAATTGAATTTTATGTCAATAAAGTTGGGTGTGTTTTTTTAAAGTACTTTGTGGGCCAAACATAATATGTCTTTGGGCCCAAAATGGCCAAAATCCTAGAATCTGAGGCTCCATCTCGTAGCATCCTTTTCCCACTTGTAAAATGGGAGACATTTAGTTTTCTTTTCAGCATGTCTGGAATAATCATTGAGCTTAGAATAAAGGTCACCCAAGCCATAAGGCCTACAGCCAGCAGGTACTGGGAGAGCCTTGCTAAGGGATTTGCTATTTGTTTGCTTGCAGCAGCAGAATGAATATTTGGTCAGCAGTGGCTGGCAACAGATTTGAGTCCTCAGAAATCCAATATTTCAGGTGGCTACTTTTTCAAGAAGCCTCTACAAGGCATTCGTTTACTTGGTTTTGCCACAGTGAATAATAGAGTGGCAGCCCATTTGCCAAGTATACAGTTCCTAGTTAAATACTGTTAAAGAAATTGATTACCTTCTTATGTGATCTCATGGTATGGCTTGAGCAGAATAGAGAAATGAGACATCCTGGTGCCTAACTCTGGCAACACAGAAGGAGGAAACCATCTCCCTCTGCCCCACCCATTCTTCACCCAACTGCTGGCCTGGCAGGCCAGCTCGTGGGGCTGCAGGAACAAGCTGGGTCTGGTTCCTGGGTCTTGTGCATCTTCCCAACATTGCCTTGGTCTTTTCTGCCCCACCTCTGCCTGGGGCTTTTGGCATTCCCGCTGCTCATTCGGGTTTCATATATTAGACATCATCTGCCAAAAATGAGCTTGATTTTCATTTTAGTCATCCAGCGTCTATTTGAGTACCCTGCAAATGCCAGCTACTGCTGATATATAAAGTCTCTGACCTCGAGGAACATAGGCTGAAAAGAGACATAAATGGAAACCATGAGAGCAGAACGAAACGCATCTACCTAGTGGTATAGGTAATGGTGATTTTGTGAGATAATAGGACGAGGATAATTAATCCCACCTAGGGACAGTTCTTCAGGAGGAAGGCAGTGATATTTGAACTGGGCTTGTTATAGTCTTGCTAGGAAGGTCAGAGAGGAGAAATGAACCTATCATCTTACTCTGCCTTGTCACTTAGACTCTAGTCCTTTTGCTAGTAAACACAAAATCAAATATCCAGGGAAATATTTAGAGTCTGAGGTACAGGTCTCATCTCTACTCTTCTTTTGTCAACCTGTGCCAGGAGATCCCATGAGTCTGCTGGCATCGCCACACCCAGATGAAGGCAGCGAGCAATTATAGGAAGCTTGAACTGACACGCTCCCGGAGTTCTCTCGTGCAGCACTGTGCTCACTCCCATGCCGCTGTCCCAGAGCCCGGTGTTTGCAGTAGGGGAGTTCTTCCTTCTTCCCAGTCTTCAGCTCCGTGTATAGCTGCACCTTTCCCAGGCTTCTTGCTGTTCTGCTCAGGCCGATGAGTTTGCCCTTAACTCCCATTTTCTCTCTTTCCTATTGGCAGAGGTTCTTGCTGTCTTAGAGAACTGGCTTGCTCTGCTCACCTTACTGCTTTCCCTGTCCTTCAGCCACTTCTTACTTACTGCCTGTGATGCCGGAGTCAGGCACCAGGATGGCCCATCTCAACCCCTTCCCTCAGGGAAGAGCAGAAATAAGAGGCAGGGAGGGAACCAGGGATGTTGCTGGGAAGCCTTTGGCGCAGACAACCTTGGCTATTTAGTGTCTCCTAATATGTTTACTGCTTGCATGTGGGTTCTGGAAATATCACACTCCATCCCAGGATTAGTAGCCCCTGGTGACAGGCAGCAGGAAAAGTTTTGCCCCCAGTTAGCTGCAAACTGTGTTGGGCTGGAAGGGTATCAGAGATGGGTATCGGCTGTGGAGGTAGAAGAGCTGAGAAGGAAGAGAACAGGTTATATCTGCAAACAATATGGAGCCCTGCGTGGAGTTAGTATCTGTGTGTATGGAATCAGTGTTTACTTTGGTTGGGCTCAGGGTGGTATCAGAGATGCTGGAGGGAGGAGTTGGGTTCTTTTCTGGGCATCCTACCCAGCGTACCAAGGATGGAGCAGCAGGATTGTAATGTTGGGTCTCTTCTCTCCTCAGACAATGGTTTAGGCCTCCTTATCATCAGGAGACCTACGAGTGAGTAAAACAAAGCAGAGTAAAAAACACAACAATAACCACAAAGCCCTACAAAGCAGAGTGTCTGCCCCTGCAGTAAGAAGCAGACAGTGTGTGTTCCGTGGGAGTGCTCATGGTGGTGTCTGTCATACACCTGGGCAGGGAGAGTTCCGACATCTGGTGGTGTATGGCTGAGTCATACCGTCTTCCCCCCTTGGTTGTGTTCCTGAACTTGGCTGCTTTGGTGCTTCTAGCTACTTTCCTCTTCTCTCCTCAGGTTTTCTCTTTCTCTCCCCGTTATTAATATTGGGGGAAGGGGGATATTTTTAGGGGGAGTCAAACCATTTTATTGAGGACCTTTAGGGGACGGTTGAAGCCCGGGAGGACAGTGAGATCTGGCGTTCTCAGCCCACCGGGACCTCCCAGCTTCTCAGTCACCGGAAAGCTATTAACATTATGTTTAATGCCAAAAGTAAAACATGTTCAGTGTAGAAAAGTCAAAGAATACAGAAAAATCAATTGATACTCTGAGTGTACAGTGGAAGTTCTCACCCTCTCCAGTCTCACTTCCTTCCCTTTGGCATGCATTCACTGTACAAATGCTTATATAGATAGATATATCATATACAACTCTAAGGTTTCTCACTTATAATAAAAATAGAACCATATACATGCTGTATGATATAAATCTCTTGTTTTTGTGATACTTCTGACTTTTCTTTCTCCTTTCTCCTTAGGGATCCGGTGTGATTAAAGCTGGTTTTGCTGGTGATCAGATCCCCAAATACTGTTTTCCAAACTAGTAAGTCATTCTGTAACTTAGAAGCTTAGAAGGTTGTCAGCTTTGTTACAGGCTCAGCCCTCCATCCTTTAGGGAGAAGGGATCTGTCATTCAGGACAGCCCTGGTACTCAAAACAACAAGCAAAGGACAGGAGCTGGCTTTTGGAGGAAGCTAAGGAGACAGCCTACATAGTACAATTGGAGAGGCACTGGCAGATTTTATCTGATGCCAAAAATGTTCTCATCAGGAACTCATTGCTTTGGGTGACTGTCTCTTCGTGGAGCCCTCTTTCTAAAACTCTCCTGTCACCCAGGATGGGGTTAACTATGAAGCCATACCTTTAGCCTTAGTGAGAATGAGTTCTCGGGACTCTCCTCTCAGGCAGAGAGACTGCAGAGGAGGGCAGTTAGGAGTGACCAGGCCTGCGGGGGAGGGTAGTTATGGGAGACCAGGCCAACAGGGGAGGGCAGTTAGGAGCAGTCAGGCTGCAGGGGAGCGGTTAGGGGATGATCAAGCTGGCAGGCAGGTGAATGTTTGGGAGCCAGCAGCTCTGGATTATGAGAGGGATATTTGACTGCCGCTTAGACCCGATTCCTGTCCAATAGGGCCTAAACCTGCAATCAGACATATCCCTCTAGTATAAAAATAAAACATAAATAATACATGTTCATTGTAAAAATTATGGGAAATGCAGAAAAGGAGAAATAAGAAAATAAAAATCAACTGTAACTTCCCTCCTTGAAGATAATCATAGTAGCATTGAGTATATTTCTTCCTAAGTGTGTGCCTCTATAGAACTTTCCTGTGTTCTGTCATGTGTTGTGAAATGAAAAGTCCTCCCCACTTTCTTTTGTAGTGTGGGCAGACCCAAGCATGTTCGTGTCATGGCAGGAGCCCTCGAAGGTGACATCTTCATTGGCCCCAAAGCTGAGGTAATTCCCACCCCTCGAGCTAACAGAAGACCTTCTTTAGTCCCCACATGGACAGTGTCCCAGCAGAGGGACATAGCGATGAGTAAAAAAAGTGATTTCTTCTTAAAATCTCCCCGTTAGGTCTCTTATCCTAGGCCTCATCCATTTCTTTCTCCCAGGAGCAGCTTCTGGTTTTGGAAAGAAAACACTAATTTGTGAAACAGAGAGCAGTCTAGGACACAGAGCTTCTGCCTTCCTTTTGTATTCTGCCACTACCTTGCCAATAATCAAAATGACTGGCGTGGTTATTTTTTGGCAAAAGGGATTGGGGGGTAGATCCTGGCTGGGTACCCTGGGGATGAGTTAATTAACAGTTTGGCAGAGCCTCTAGAAGCAGAACAACAGAATCATAGTTGCCAGCCTTGCTCCAAGTGCTGAGACCCAGAGGCGGGGGCCAGGAGATTATGTCCTGGGATCAGGCAGTGAAGAGGATGTTTCCTGTCACTTGCCCTGAGGACACCCAAGGGTCCATGGAAATGCAGAAGCCCTCTACTCTGGCTGCTGCTGTAAGTCCTGCTCTCTTTCCCCAGGAGCACCGAGGGCTGCTGTCCATCCGGTACCCCATGGAACATGGCATTGTCAAGGACTGGAACGACATGGAGCGCATCTGGCAATATGTCTATTCTAAGGACCAGCTGCAGACTTTCTCAGAGGAGGTGAGATTCTGTGTGGGAGGCAGCCCTGCAGGGAGTGCAGAGCAGAGACTCAGAGATGAGAAAGATGACAATAGCTGCCAAGAGTATTTGAGTCTTAATTATGTACCAGGCATCAGACCATGTGCTTTTTAGACATGTTTGCATTTAATCTTCACACCATTCCTATGAGATGTAGGTAGTATTCTCTCTAGTTTACAAACAGGGGGACAAGTTCAGAAAAGCCAAGTAGTGTTTCCAAGATCACCCAATGAATAAAGTAAAGCTGGGATTCAAACCCACATCTTTCAGATTTCAGAGAGTATACTCTAACTTCTAAGGAGTAACTCTCCACTCAGAAACACCAAGGAATGTGCAGACTAGGTGGACCAGAATTTCCAGGGGAGAGATATGTTCTAATTTTTAAAAGAACGTTCAGTATTAAAATTTAACTTTCTATTTTTAAAAAAATTTAAACTATTTTTATAATTCCAATAGCTTATTAGCAAAATCTTTTTGACAACTGGAGATATATAGCAGAAATAGTAATGTAAGAATCATGGAAGAACAGAAGAGTAATAAAGGGGTGGAGGTGAGGTCAGAATGAGGCTTTAAAAGGGGCATGATTTTGGAAAATTGAGGGTCTGACATGGGCAGGGGTAAGTAATAGGCCCAGCTTGCCTTTTTTTGGAGAGAGACCAACTAAGGTCCCCTGGCCATCCATACATGGGCTTCTCCTCCAGCACTAATGAGGGTGGGCGTCTGGCCTCAACCTGACTGCTGTCTGGGCATCTTTCACCAGCATCCTGTGCTCCTGACAGAGGCGCCTTTAAACCCACGGAAAAACCGAGAACGAGCTGCTGAAGTTTTCTTTGAGACCTTCAATGTGCCAGCCCTCTTCATCTCCATGCAAGCTGTGCTCAGCCTGTGAGTAGCAGCCTGGCGCCTGAGGGGAAAGCAGTTCCTTTGGCATTCCTATAGGGCAAAATACCAGCTAAAATAGGCTGCCATTATTAGGTTTTGCCAGCTTGACTTCACCACAGTTCACTCCATTTCTTGTCCTCCCAACACGAAGGCTGTGTGTCAACTGTTAAATTATCAAACATTATAAGGTTAACCCTCTCCCCCACCATACCACAGAAGTATGTTTGTCTCCTTGTCTCTGCCAAATGAGAAAAAACTAAGAAGAGACCTAGGGAATCATGTGGGAGAAAAGCTAGTTTTTGTGGAAGTGAAAATATTCTTTTAAAAAAAAAAAAATCCTTGTTTTCCTTCACTCATTTACTTGCCCTGCCTAGCCCTTGTAGGCATTTGGGTTTTTTCCTCTTGTCTAGAGAGTAAAATCTTCCCTCAGGCTGGGTCTATGAACCGTTGAAGGCCAGCCATCTTCTGGGCCTGGGCAGGGAGCTTGGAGAGACTCAGCTCCTCTCATTCAGATCTTCCACGGCTTGCTTCAGTGCTCAGCATCCTTAGTACTCAGTCCAGTTTCCGGGCCCTGGAGAAAGGCAGGCCCCAGCTTTAGTTCAGCTGACATTGAACTTTAAACAAAGTAAGTTTTTGCCCAGAGTGAGGAGGCAGGGGGTGGTGATGGTTTGCCCCCTTTGCTTCAGTTATGCCACAGGCAGGACCACAGGAGTGGTGCTGGATTCTGGGGATGGCGTCACCCATGCTGTGCCCATTTATGAGGGCTTTGCCATGCCTCACTCAATCATGCGCATCGACATCGCTGGCCGAGATGTCTCTCGCTTCCTTCGCCTCTACCTGCGTAAGGAGGGCTATGATTTCCACTCATCCTCAGAGTTTGAGATTGTCAAGGCCATCAAAGAAGTGAGTGCTGCCCCGTGGGGCCAGGGATGGGCTAGGGGATGGGAACGGAGCATCAGGACCTCCAGGACCTGGAGTGAAAAGAGGTGAAGCTCCTGTCCTAGGGCCTGGGTCAGGCCTCCTGACAGCGGGAGACCTCCTGACACACTCCCCTTTCCAAAGAGCTACCGTTTGTAGGGGAAAGGGAGCTGCTTCTATTTCTTAAGCTGGGTGATGGGTACACTGGTGATAATTATGTTTTTCAGACCTTCTATACAAATTACATGTTCTTTCCATCCTTGAGGAATTCAGAATACATTTATCTTTTTAAGTAAACTGAGTCCTCCTGCACCTGGGGCTGTAGGGTAACCTTTGAGCTGGGGAGTGGGACCCAGAACCATATGAGCAATAGAAGAAGGATGCCTGAATATGGACTAAGATTAGGCTGTGTTCTCAGACCCAGATCCAGGGAACCACATTTCCACACTTGCCCACCAGGAAGGTGGAATAGGTGGGAACTCCTATCCTAAATGCCATCTAGTGGACGCCAACAAAACCTCCCTGCTCCTGCTGTAGGGCAGCAGCCCTCATGACCTTTAGGGCAATCACTGCGATGGGCAGACTTCTGCAGCAGCATGTCAGTCTTCAGGGATTTGACCAGGTAGGTGCCAGGTTTCCTGCCTGCCTGACTCGTGCTTGGTTCTGCAGAGAGCCTGCTACCTATCCATAAACCCCCAGAAGGATGAGACGCTAGAGACGGAGAAGGCTCAGTACTACCTGCCCGATGGCAGCACCATTGAGGTAGGCGACCGAACCCATGCCCTCAGGCCCCCAAAAGCTCTGGGCTCGAACAGAACTTTTCATGGGGAGGCTGGAGTCAGATGTCCCAGTCTGTCAGCCTGGCCTGGAGCAGTGGAGCTCTTGAGCAGCACCGTCTCCTGCCCAGCGATGAGTGCCAGGGACTTTGCTTCTCTTGTGTGGGGAGGAGGCGTTTTCCTAGGTCAAGATAGGATTAGGAAGAGGGTGTTAGTGCTGTCCTTAACTACTTGAGGCTGAGTTGCCTCTCCCCAGACCTCCATGGACTGGAAGAAGTTTTTATGAGGGAATGAGTCCAGGTATTAAGGCCAAAGGTCTCTGGGTTGGATAATCCCAGAGCTAGGATTAAGCACAGGAACTTCCTCTCTCTAGTTTCCTAGGAGCCCTGTTTCTTTTTGTTCCCTATTTGTTCCCAGGAATTCTGTCTTTGTTCCTGGAGACCTTGACATCCGAGGTCTTTCCTAAGCCTGGCCTTCATAGCCACCTGGTTACTAAGAGGTGGGCACAGGGGCCTCTTCCATCCCCAGTCCCACCTCTGAAGCTTGCCCTCCACCCTGCAGATCGGTCCTTCCCGATTCCGGGCACCTGAGCTTCTGTTCAGGCCAGACCTGATCGGCGAGGAGAGCGAGGGCATCCACGAGGTGCTGGTGTTTGCCATCCAGAAGTCTGACATGGACCTGAGGCGCACCCTTTTCTCCAACATTGTCCTCTCGGGAGGCTCCACCCTGTTCAAAGGTTGGTCTTTGCTCTTGGGCCCTTCCCCAGAAAGTTTCCAGATCCTGCTGGGCCCAGATGCCCAGAGAATTGACTTGCGATTCTCCTTTCTTGCCCATTCAGGTTTTGGTGACAGGCTGCTGAGTGAAGTGAAGAAACTGGCTCCAAAAGATGTGAAGATCAGGGTAGGAGCGCGGTGCAGGCTAGGGCTGGGTGGAACTGGGCTTCCAAGGGTCCATAATGCCATAAGGTATGGCCCCCTTTCCAGCTCTGCCCAAGCTTTTCAGGCTTTTACTGCCAGATGCTCCCATTTCCACCCTCACCCTGAGGCCTGCCAGAGTGGAGGACAAAGGGGGACAGTTCTCATACTCAGATGACGCAGGGTGCTAGGTCGAGGGCCCCACGTGTGTTCTTCCAGGGAAACTGACATTGATAGGAGGTTGACTTTTGCTACTCCCTGTGACACAGCCCAACATCTTAGTGACTGCCGAGGGAGCTAGCCTGCCTGAGAAAGGCGGGGTTCTAAGTGGAGTGTGGTTCCTGCAATGGCATCTCACCCCCAGATAGCCCCAGCTTTTCAGAAATTGTACTTAGGACTGCGAGAGGCCACAGGGTCCAACAGGTCCACATTGTCTGCTGTGTGAAATGCATCCACTGTCTTGGGTGGTGAGAATTAGCCATAAAGGAGAGAGTTGAAAGGAAAAGTGAGAGGAGAGGATGAACATCTCAGATTCCTCTTTCTGCTCCTCTTGCAGATATCTGCACCTCAGGAGAGACTGTATTCCACATGGATCGGGTGAGTAGTTCTGGGAATACGAGTGGAACAGGAAGCAAACACCCACGCTCTTTGCTCACCGTGGTCCTTTGGATTCCCTCTGCTCCAGGGGCTCTATCCTCGCCTCCCTGGACACCTTTAAGAAGATGTGGGTCTCCAAGAAGGAGTACGAGGAAGACGGTGCCCGATCCATCCACAGGAAAACCTTCTAATGCTGGGACATCATCTTCATCTTTCTCTGAAGTTAACTCCACTTTAAAACTCGCTTTCTTGAGTCGGAGTGTTTGCGAGGAACTGCGTGTGTGCAAGCGTGTGTGTGTGTGTGTGTGTGTGTGTGTGTGTGTGTACAAGTATGTGCACCTATGCGAGTGCCGTGTGGCCCAGGGATCCCAGGGCCCAGAAAGGACGATGAACTACCCACGATGGTGATGGCCTGAGGCCTGGGGTTGACCACTAACTGGCCCTGACAGGACAGAATGCTGGCAGAGGGCTCCATTCCTTCGTCTACTGGGCCTCTGTCTGGCTGTGCGGGACTGTTTACTACCTACCATAGGGACAGAGGGAGGTAGACCTAACCCCAGGGAGACCTTGCTGCTGCCCATCCTAGGCTAGTTAAACACCACCCCGGCCCCATCCTTGGGTGCCGAGGCCCAAGGCAGCTGCTGCCTTCCTTGTTCATCATTCTGTTCTTGATGCCTCTTGATCATGGATTGAGGACTGGAACTGGGGTTGAGTTCTATCTGGTTTTGATTGCAGTTTGGGTTTGGGAGGCTGGAAAGGAGGGCAGGATGCTCTTAACTTTACCTGGGGGCCAGGACCACACTGGGCATTTGAGGAAGGCAGGAGTAGTGCTACTTTTGATTGGCGGCAGAGTCCAAGTTCCAATCCCAAGCCCCATCTAGGGAATCTTGGGAGAACTTAAGGAGCCTCTTGGCTCCAGGCCATTACTTACTTTTCATCCATCCTTGGGCAATGCCATTTTCAAACAATGTTATTTATTTGTTTGTGCAGTATGGGAACTGGAGGGAGGGAGCTTATTGCCTCCTGCCCACCAGTCACCCTGTTCACACTAATGTTTACAGCATCTAAGCTTAGCATAGTCTCCAGGGCCCCGCCACTCCCTGCTAAGGGTGAACTGACAGTATCCATAGGCTGACGCCATTTGGGATCTGAGGCTACACTCAAAGTCACTCCCACAGCCTCTCTCTCTCCCTCTTCCACTTGCTCACTTCCCTAGAATCCACAGGCTGGTTGTGGTTGGATTTTCTGAAGCTGGTGGTAGAATCACTCCTTGGCAGAGGCCCTAGCAAAGGAGGGATGTTGGGGGACCTAGCTCCCTTAGGATTGGAGAAAGAGCCGCAATGAACCAAGTTGCCTTTTCCCACTCTAGCTGACCTGAGGGGCTAGGTTATAGAGATGAGAAGGCCCCCTCTGGACTGATACTGTGCCATTCTTTACTTTGGACCTATTTAGTTAGCGAGGAGGCCAGACCCAGGTGCCAGGAGCTGGTGAGCTCAGGTTCATCTCTGGTCCAGTGGGGCAAGCATGTACTCTGGGCTGGGCTGGCCTAGCAGTGGTCCAAAGGCCCTTCAGCCCCGATGGTACAAAGCTGGGCTGACCAATGTTCGCCGGCACCCTCACTTGACACCAAGGTCTGCCCCAAGCCCAGATTCAGGCAGTATTCTCCCCATGCCATCCAACGATGAAAGGCCCGTCTAGGTGTGGGCCACAGCAGCAGGTGTGTGTGAAAGCGATGTTGTGGCCCGCGGACTGCAGTGTGCTTAACCAATTCACCTCCCTTCTTTTAGCCCAAGCCTGTCCTTCACACAGCCTTGCACAAACCACAAACCAGCCTTGCCTGGTGGGGCCCAGTGTACTTAAATAAAGTCCTTCCAATAGACACGTCAGCTGGGTTTCTGTCTAGTCAGTGCTGGGCGGGGAAGAGGGAGGAGCCAAGGTCCTTAATCTGAGGCCTCATTCGTCCTCTAGAGGGCACTGTTGCCCCAGCCAAACTAGGCCAGCTTTAGCCCAAGTGCCAGCCTGTCAAGCCCATGGGTGAGACCACCCAAATGAGGGGAGCAGAATTTGACATCCCTGAAGTCAGAGGTTCTCAAAACTTCTGTGTGTAAGAAGCTCAAGAGCTTATTAAAATGCAGTTCCTGAGGCCCATGCTCAGGTATTCTGATTAATCAGTTCTCTATTTTAATTCTATATACTTGGGGGGAAATTGCCCTGCACTTTACAAATGTTAACCCATTTGATCCAACAACGTATATAGGATATTTTTATCACCCACTTTATAGATGAGGAAATAGAGCCGGAGAAATCACGTAATTTCCCAAAGCTAGGGTTTGAACCCAGGCAATGTAGCTCTAGAGCCTACATTCTTAGGCACTATGAGGCCTCAACAAACCATTGGCCCAAAATCAGGTCAGTTTTGCCCTCCAGATACATTTGCCAATGCCTGGAAATTTTTGTCACAACAAGATGGGGCGGGCAGGTGTGCTGCTACTGGCATCTAAGCAGAGGCCAGGGCTGCCAAGGCCTAGAACAGGTAAAATAACCACAGCTTTTCAAACCTCAGACCCTTGAAAGCAGAACCTTGGGAAACAGAACTCAGACATCACCATCTTTGAAAGCTCTCTGTGTCTCCAAGGTGGAGGGCTCTGGCCTAAGAGGGGCCACTCCTCCGATCACCGTGTCGCAGTGGTACCTGGAGTGCCCTGGGGCTACGGCTGCATCCCAGGTGCCCCTGCAGTTACCGCTCCACAGATTCCCTGTTGCCTCTGTGACGGATGTGGGTGGCCACTCAACTCACTTTGGAAAAGTGCTCTTGAGTGCTTTTCACATTAAATGGGTCATATTCCCCAACCCCACCACGCCCACACAGCACAGACCTCAGGAATGGGAACAGAATGACTTTAATCCGTTTGATGAGCCGGCCCTCTTAGGAGGCCCGGTGGGCGAGGAGAGCCCTGCAGCAATGGGGGCAGCTACTTCAGGCACAACTGAAGCAGAGAGCCAGACCACTGGGCGGGCGGAGAGGGGGGGGCTCCCAGTCAGCTTCCCCCGACTGGACAAAAGGCAGTATCAAAGTGGTTCCTGAGCGCAGTGAAGCCCCAGCCCCAGGCAGCGGGATGGGCCTCTGTGCCCTGTGGCAACCCCAAGTGACCACAGGGCAGTCCCATCCCTTCTTGGTCCTTTTCTTACTCCTGCCCACAGGGGCAAGCAGGTCCCTGAGCAAATTTGGCACAGCTCTCGCCCAAGCTGGGCCAGATAGCCAAGCAAGGTCTTAAACCCAATGACTCTCCTGGCTCAGACCCAGAAGCTCCCATTCTGCCATTTGATCTCGAGGCTGCACCCAATGAAGGCAGGGGAGCAGGACACCAGGCTGGCAAAAGTGGCTCCTGCCCAGAGCTGTGGGCAGTGTCCTCATCAGAGTGGCCTTGTTGCCCCTCTCACACTGTCTTAATGCCAAGGGTTTGGACTTGTGACAGATTCTGGCGTTGGGCTTTGACCATGCGCAGGCGTCTCCCATGCAGCTTGAACTTGGACCAGGCGAACAGTTGCAGCACAGCACAGACGATGGGCACCAGCACCAGCAGGTAGAAGCAGCCCTCGCGGAGCGTAGGGGCCTGGGCCGGGGGTGGGGCCGGGGGTTCTGGCCGGGGCTGGGCACTCACCACAGGGGTCCGTGGGGGCTGCTGGAAGAGATCGTGACCTACGACAAGAGCGCGTGCAGAAAGCACAGTCGGCCCTGTGCTCCTCTCAAGTTCACGGTGCCACATCTCAGATGCCACACGTACACAACCAAAACACAGCCCCTGACTGCTACCCCAACCCTGCTCCTCCCTGTCTACTTCTCAGTTGATGGCACCAGCATCCACCCAATGGGCCAAAAACCTAAAAGTCTTCCTATATTCCTTGGTTAACTTTAGCACTCCCAACAGCCAATCCTTCACCTCCCCCCAACTCCAAAACACATCCCAGCCCCAAACACTTCTTCCCGGCCTCCTAGCACCACCTGGTCCAAGCCCCTATCGCCTCCGCCACAGCCTCCCTACAATCCACTCTCCATACAGCAGCCAGAGCCAGCTCTTAAAAAATCAGACCGTGTCACCCTCTGCTTAAAACCCTTCCAATAGCTTCTCTTTGAACTGAGAATAAAATCCAAACCCTGCCCTGCTCTCCAGAGCCCTCATCAACGTTTCCAGCTTCATCTAACCACTCCTGCTACCTGTGCCTTTGCACCTGTCACTCCTCTGCCTGGATCCACTGAGATCTTCGTAGACCAAATCCTTCCCATCCAGTTCACGTCTGGCTGTCACTTCCTCAGAGAGACCTTCCCAGGCCACACTGAGTAGTTTTTCAGACACATTACAGTAAGTCCTCACTCAATGCCATCAGTAAGTTCTGTGACTCAGTGAAACAATGTGTAAAGAACCAATTCTAGCATAGGATAACTGATATAGACAAGTTACACTCCTACAGCATCTCAACATTCTAAAGCAACAACACTGAACAAAACCCCACCTGTGAAGATCGGCTGTCTTTCTACTATTGCACTTACCACTATCTGCTATTTTCTTGTTTGGCTACACCCCACTCCTCCCCAACTAGAACATAAGCTTCATGATGGCAAGGACCCCGTATGCCTTACTGTTACCTCCGTGGCACTCAGAGCAACACCTGGCAGAGACAGTGTATACATATTTGTTCAATCAATGAATGAACTCTTGAAAGAAGAATCAGAAACCCAGCTTTTCTACTCATGGGGGAGAGGTGTGGCACCCAGGGTGATCCAGTTGCCATTCTCTCCCTCACCACACCTAGAGCCATTCTCGGGTAGTGTGCCAGCCCCTGGGCTCTCACCTGTGTAGAAGCACAGTAGCCAGGTGCCCAGCAGCGGGGCCAAGGTTTGGCCTGGCTTGGTCACCAGGGCCACCATGCCAAAGAGAAGCGCCGAGGCTGCCTGCTTGCGGCGGTTCAGCACCAGGTCCTCATCCACCAGGTCAGTGACCACCAAGGTCAAGAGCTTACAGGTGCCCTCGGTGAAGACACGGTTGCTGCCAGCAGAGAGAGAGAGCAGGCAAAAGTGAAGGGGTGCAACAGAGGCGCGGGGGGAGGGAGGGCAGGGCATACCTGGCGATGAAGAGGCAGAGCAGGCGGGGGCGGTCGGGGCCGGCCAGAAGCAGGAGCAGGCTCAGGCCCAGCTTAAGCAGGAAGAGCCCCCGCACCACGGTGTAGACGCCCCAGCGCCGGCACAGGGGCAGGAAGTAGAGGTTGTTGAGGTGGGGGGCGACATAGGAGATGCCTGAGGAGAAGGGGTGCGGCCTTATCGGGACACTGCGGCAGCTCCCACCATCGTCCACATTCGAACAATCAGAATCAACGTTTGCCAGGCTCTGCTGAGAGCTAGTTTGCATCCTTTTATTTAGTCCCCACTGCCTTTTAAGGTTAGTAATATTACTATTCCTACTTCACAGCTGAGAAATGGAGACCCAAAGATATAAAATAAACACGCAAGGCCAAACAGCCAATAAGCACAGTCCGGACTCACAGCCAGGCCCGGCACACTGTGCCATATTGCTTCTGGATGGCACCATCACCGAGAGGACCACTGTGAGAGCAGTCCCGCCCCCTCCTACCCACCAGAGTCTTCCTTCCACCCGTTCCTCAGGAAAACAGAGCTGGGGCTGGAGGTGTAACCCACCACAGGTTCTGCCCTCTGCCACCCAGGCCCGAGCTGGGGAGTGGCTGTGCCTGCAGCTGGGCTAGGGGTCCTGGGGTGCAAGCCTCTGTCCTTCCAGCCTGCCCAAGACACCCACTCACCCAGCAGGAAGGAGCCGGTGGAGAGGGAGATGTGATCTGACAACAGATGCTCCAGGAAGAGCGGGAAGAAGTTGCTGTTGAAGTGGCAGTGGAAGACCTGAAACCCAACAGGCGGTGAGGAGGCAGCCGAGCAGGAGCGGCCTTTATCCCGCCCTCAACAGGGAACACCTAAAACCAATTCCTGCTGCTTACCGAACTTTGCCGCAAGTTAGGAATGATAGCACTGTCATTAGAACAATTAAAGGTGTTTTTCTTTTCAATTAAAAACACCTTCGTATGCCGAGATCGGTTTGGCTCAATGGATAGATAGAGCGTCGGCTTGGGGACTGAAGGGTCCCGGGTTCGATTCCAGTCAAGGGCATGTACCTTGGTTGCGGGCATATCCCCAGTAGGGGGTGTGCAAGAGGCAGCTGATCAATGACTCTCTCTCATCGATGTTTCTAACTCTCTATCTCTCCCCTTCCTCTCTGTACAAAATCAATAAAAATATTTAAAAATAAATAAATAAATAAATAAAAACACCTTCGTAAACAAGCTTAATGACATAAAAACTATTTGGCTAGCTTATATACTACCAGTGTTTTAGGTGTGGCTCTTGGTATTTTTACAAGTTTGTCACAATCCCCAGAGGGGCTGCCCTGAGAGGCTGAGTCTTGCCCAAGACTTCACAAGGAGTTAAGAGCTCAGAGGGTGCCCTATCCGGTTTGGCTCAGTGGATAGAGTGTCAGCCTGTGGACTCAAGGGGCCCAGGTTTGATTCTGGTCAAGGGCACATTCCCAGTGGGGGGTATGCAGGAGGCAACTGATTGATGTTTCTCTCTCATCGACATTTCTGACACTCTCTCCCTCTCCCTTCCTCTCTGTAAAAAAATCAATAAAATATATTTAAAAAAAAAAAAAAAAAAAAGCTCAGATGGTGCTAGAACCCAGGTCTTCTACCTACCCAACCTGTGTTCCTGCCTTCACATCATCCTACAGTCATCACTCGAAGCCCGGGATTTTCCAGCGTCTGAGAAACCTATTCGGCTGAGTGAGGCCTACGCTGCCCATCCTGGGTGGGGAGTCTGCTCCCGTAC